GTGTTAAGGTGTGATTACAATCAAGTTTAAACATTGTTTACACACTAGGTATGGCTGTTGACTGGATTTCGCTTAACGTTTACTGGGTTGATTATCTAAAAAATCTTCTGATGTTTTCATCCTATGACGGAATATCTCCATCAACAATGTTTTTTAACGTCATTAGGCCAAGGGCTATAGCAGTAGACCCAAATGCAAGGTGATTTTATTATTTAACATAACCAACCTTTCTCGAATTTTAAGTTCTTAGACAATATATTTGTGTTACTGTATGTAAATGATGCATTGTGATTATGAAGTCCTAATCTTACTCATCACTTTATTACAATTATATTTCTTATTTTAGTCATAATGTAATAATTATTTTTTTAACGATTTTATAGTTAAAGGTGTAATTAATTTTTCCTAAGAATTAAAAAAAAAATCTTATTTTGAATTTTAACCATAAATTCTGCTTAATAGTTTTTTAAACACTGTTCAGGATAATTTGTTTTTTTAGGCCAAAATAGGTGGTACAGAGCAAGGTGTGGCCAGGAAATATTGTTAGACATTTTTAGGTCAGAAGTATTAAAGGTGTAATTATTCCAAAATATTTTTTAGAGTGTAAGGTGTATCATAAATATATTATTATGAAAACATGTATGTAAACAAATCTCTACCATCAGTCGTAAATTGTATAATGTTAAGGTAGGCTCAGGTTGACACGGAACTGAAAGGAACTCAACTCAACTCGTCAACATGAGCGCTCCGCGCAACTGAAAGGAACTGAACGCAACTGAACGGAACTAAACTCGTGTCGACTTTAAGCAACTGAAAGGAACTTGACTCATGTCGATCGGCAACTGAAAGGAACTATTGGGTAAAAACATTTTCCGCGCGAAATCCCATCAACTGCAAAATGTCTGTAATGTTTGTGTTGAGACATGTAAATATTTTTAAAAGTGTATCTACGTTACTTTTTTATTTTGAAATTGTTGATCGGCAACTGAAAGGTAACTTACCTCACGCGCGTAGCGAAGTAAAACCGTAAAATTTGTAGTGTCCCTAGTAACAACACACTTTGAAGAATGGTGGCATACGTGAGTAAGGTAAATTTAATTAATTAAAACATCTATGTAATTGGCCAGCTGATTATATCACATTTCCAATTTATTTCGTCTGCGCACTTGACAATTATACCGACGATAAGTAGAGGACAAAATTTAGATTGTGAACTGTCCATATTATTGTACGTATGACAACCGTGGTAGCTAGGTGTATTATTATTAAACAAATTCAGGCTTAGCACCACAAGTAATTTGTATATATGCAAAGACCCACATAGACTTCGGCCCAATTAGGAAATAGGATAGTAGGCTTATTTTTTATTATCCTACTTTCACTTTTGTAAGTTGCGATTAAATTTCTTGGATGTAAAATAAAAATTTAATCTGCTTTTAATATATATATTTTTTTATTGAAATTTTACATTAGGCTTCGTTTGTTAAAGATGTTTTATTTAACATGTATTTCCCATACAGGTTAACCTTTCCAATAGAGACAAAATTAACATTCTTTGTCAAGTTACAAGAAAGAGACGGGCTGCCATCGTGACTTATTGCGCAATTGAAGAGAGAAGTAAGAAAGTCCGCAACTACTGGAGACGACCTTGGCTCAACGAACACGACGGGCAGGGCTTCTATTTCAATTTAATCGAAGAATTAAGACTAAATGACACCGAAAGCTATCGAAACTTTTTTTCGAATGTCACCTTCCCAGTTCCACAATATCGTGGAGAAAATTGGGCCGCACAGTCAACGTCAAGACAGAAATTTTCATAAATGTGTCTCACTGGGTGAACAAGTAAGGGTGTACAGTATTCAACAGCAGGTTTTGGAGTTCAATTTTCATTTCGTTCCATATTTCCCCTCAGTTCATAAGTAGATGACTAAATCAATGGCCATTGTTAATTAACATTTGTAAACATTTAATTTAATAAATACATATTAACATACAGTTACATAACATCACTCTCTGGCCTAAATAATACAGCATTATATTTTTTGTTTGCTAGTGAAACTTTCAAAAGATTATCATTACTCTTTCCGCTTGGGCTCGACAACAATTGACACACATTGTTCCTGAAACGTGCGAAGTAATTTATGACGTTCTTAAAGATGAATATTTGAATGTCAGTACATTATTTTAAATCATGCAAATTATTTATATTTCATTTTGTAATGTATTGTTATAAACCTCTTTTATTCAAAAGGATGTGCAGTTGATGTCAATAGGTCTATATATGACCTACTGGTGTTCGCCTGCTCGTCCATTTCTGCCTGGAAAATTGTTTGGTTGATTGTTTGAATGACATTCAATTTCCTCAGCTTACTTATTTTTTATTTTTAATTTGGGAGCTACATATCGGCCAAAAAGGTCATCTTCTTCCTCCACCTGTTGAGGGAAAACAATTGTCTCAGATATTGACTTAGCAATTGTCTCCAAATAGTCTGAGTCTGTTTTTTTTTGTTTTTTGTTTTTTTTTTTTAGTTGGTTTTTTTTTTATTGGGATACTACGTTGTGGGACATATATATCTTCTGCATGAGTATTATCTCTATCGCCATCATTATCATAATTATTATTTACATTGGCTTGTGAATGGACATCTTCATCTTCCGATTCTAATCTTTCACAAGGTACTGATGAATAGTTTGGTACAATGTCGGTATTGTACCCAGGTTCTCTCCGTATCATTTGTCTGTTCCTTCGGAAAACTCCCTTTTCTGTCTGCACAAGATATGAGCGATTTTGTAGTATGGATTTTATCCATCCAGTTTGAGACAAGGCATTCTTTAAAGTGTCCCATAGTTGAACTCGTGTTCCAACTGCCAACTCTGGTAAAGCATGTGAACCTACTCTCTTCATATGATAATTCTACTGCTTTTTCTTTACCCCGCTCTTCCTTGCTACGAATGCTTTCGTGTCGAGGTGTCGAAGTTATCTGCCATTGGCAAGTTCGTTTTCAACCTCCAGTTGTAGAGTAGCTCTGCTGGAGATTTTCCACATTCAAGAGGGGTGCTACGGTATAATTGCAGGGCATTCATGGTATCTTGATTGCTGTGAACTGCTTTTTTATTCAATATTTTTACTATCTTTACTGCTCCTTCAGCCAGTCTATTGGATTGGGAGTAGTGAGGACTCACTATCAATTTGGGCATATCTGGTCTCTGCTTCCGACATTGCCCTTGAAGCTTACGCCACAGGACCCCAGGTTCTGTTATACTGTTGTAAGAGTACGGCACCTAGACCATCCCGTGAAGCATCTGAAGAGACTTCAATAGACTTTGTTGGGTCATAGAAACGCAAAACTGGCTCTGTGACAAGAGCTACTTTTAGCAGCTGCCAAACTTTTTCTTGTGCATCTTGCCACATCCATTGATTTCTTTAATTTGTTAAGATTCGAAGTGGTGCTGATTTTGAAGATAGGTCTGGGATAAACTTGCCCATGTAGTTCACTATTCCCAAAAATCTATGTACATCTGTCTTGTTCTGCGGTCTTCCCATGTTCTGTATAGCTGATATATTTTGTGGGTCAGGCTGAACTCCAAATACACACTTTGCTTTATTGAGTTTTAAGTTGTTATTTTTCACTATGTTCAAAACCTTTTTAAGCGCTCATCATGTTCAGCTTTAGTTGATCCCCATACTATAATGTCGTCCATCATAGTGTTTACACCAGGAATCTCTGCAAACAGATTATGAACCAATTTGTGATATACCTTTGGAGTACTGCTGATTCCAAGAGGTAGGCGCAAGAATCTGTACCTACCAAATGGAGTGATGAAAGTACATAACTTGGAGCTATCTTCATCCAGTTGGATTTGCCAAAATCCACTTGATGAGTCAAGTTTACTAAATATTTTTGCTCCTGAAAACCGTGCAGTAATTTCTGCCCTTGAAGGCATCTTGTAGTGTTCCCTCTTGATTGCTCTATTCAAATCCCTTGGATCCAAACACACACGTAGTTTCCCATTTTTTTTTATCTACTATAGCCAATGATGAAACCCAATCAGTCGGCTTAGTTACATTTTTTATGACTCCCTGAGTCTCCATTTTTTGCATCTCAGCTTTAAGCTTTGGTTGTAGTGGAAATGGCACATTTCGACATGCATGTTGAACTGGTATCTGGTCCTTGTTGATTGTGATGTGATGATGTCCAGGCGGGCAGCCTAGTCCAGTGAAAAGTTCATGATAATCAGTGTCAGTGTTAGTGATATATATTCTCTTAATAAGGTTCAATCTCTCGCATGTTGGTAATCCAATTATAGGCTGCACTTTTTCTGGCAACACCTGAAGGTTGAGCATCCAGTTGTTTGTTTCTTGTTTCTGGAGACCCAAAACATTTACAAAATATTCATCATCGATATTAGTGTCTGCTTCAACGATCTCATCAACTGTTGATTTACTTCGATAAAACTTTGCTCAATGGTTTTCCCTTTACACCGGGAGCAAGTTGTCCCTCATGCAGGACATGCCCGCAAGGCGTGTAGTTTACCGCATCGCTTACAGGTTATTTGTGATTTTTGCCGAGGCGGTGTATTTTTCTTCACTACTTGTACATCAGTTGTTGTTTGTGCACTTATGGCACTCAAGCTTTTCTTAGACATCTCTACATTCTGCCTTATTTTGATAGCTTTGTCTAGGGTGAGGTCATCCCTTTCCTCTAAACATTTTTCTTGTACTTTCGGGTCTTTAGCCCACATCACTATTGCATCACGCAGCATGCGTTGCATGTCTGTATAGTTGCAGTAGGCGACCAAAACCCTAAGGTCCATTTTGGATTCTGCTATTGAATTCCACTGTGGCTTTTATTGCGCTTTGGGGCGACATACTTTTCAAATTTCTTATACACACCCTCAAGCAACTCATTCTCGGCTGGCACGGCTGGGCAATTTTCGGTAGGTTCTTTTGCTGGTTCCCATTGGAAGGTATGGTAGATTTCTCTTCCTCTATCCCCTATAAATGAAAATCTGAAAATCAGACTTGTCGCTAAGGGGACCCTTGAACATAAACACGCAATGTTGCTTAAACCGTTTAAACTCCTTCGCCAGATCGGGACTATTCCAGTTCATGTAGCTTCCTGTCCCTATCCATTTTTGTTTTTGTGTTTTATAAGCTCGTGCTAGTGCCGGACTTTTGAGTTAAGAACCGTATAACAG